AGGGCCTCGATGGGATCCTAGTCCAAGACTTGGCTCCCAGACATTACCACAATGCAAATAATAATGAATTAGATTAAAGAGAAGGTCATAAAAATTGTAGAACAAGTGACAAATTGTTCCAGCTTGAACTCTTTGAAATTAAAACAACTTTGTAATTTCAAAATGTTTCACAACTCTGGGTTATAAAATAAACCGGGTGTTGGTTATTGATGTGGTGATACTTCCCAGAGACCCAGTCAGAGATCATACAAACATAATGAAAAGACAGTCCCTGTCCCAAAGTCCTGACAGTCCAAAAAATATATAATTACTGAAGATTTCTTAGAATACCTCACTTACAGATGCAATTGTCTGAGTTTGCCCCAGTATAACATTTATCTTCCCGGACTGTTACAGGAGCTTGCCATGCCACAGAGTGGTGATGTTACATCAAAACACAGTCAGGCTGTGAACCTGTGTTGCAGTATGTTAGCATTTCATAGGGCCAGACAGTGACTTCGGGACCCACATGTGTTCTCTGAGCATTTCTTTTGGGACACAAGCTGTCCTGGAGGAAAACAGCATCTTTCCTTATACGCCAAGACACATGGAAACCCTTGAAGCATGGTTACAGAGGTCTGAAGGCGAGTATCCCCCAAATTCCTTCAGAATAGGAGGCTGCCACTCTTTTCCCCCAGCGGAAAGGGGGACAATCTGCCCGTCAGCACTTGGTATTGAGAAGTTCTGGAGAGATGCTTTTTCAAAGGGCTGCATGGGAGTTAGTTAACAGGATTAATGTGCATAGGTAGCAGTCAGCACCTTGGTTAACAGGATCATTTCCTGTATCCTCCATGCATCAGAAACACGGGATCCTGTGGGTTCTACTTATCGTCCTTTATCATTATAATCCCTCCACATTATGCGTCGTCGTCATTGTTTGTTCCACGCTCTAATTTCCAAACAAGTAAAGCACCGGAGCAGCTTAACCACCTTGTTCCCATCCTTATATTTTCTCATCCTTTGTGTCAGGCAGCCTCATTCCCCGAAGACGAGAGCTTGCAGGATGCTGGTCAAATTCCATGACCGATCGGACAAGGGAGGCATAGAGAGCATCTGAGCTGAACATCAACAAGACCCAATGCTGGCAGAGGCAGATTCATTCAGCTGTTTAGCCTTTTTGAATAACAATATCTTCCCAGTGGTTGGGTCTTTTTTCTATTATTATTTATTTCCATTGGGGCTGAGCAAAGGGCTGTGTGAATTTAGGAGCCTGCCTCTGAATGAGCTGGCATCTGATCTGTATTTACTGACATTAATGTTAGATTTAATGCACTCCTGCCACTACCCAACAGTTTGTCCCAAAAAGCCTTTTAACTGGCACAAAGCGAGGGGGTCAAAAGTAAGTTGACCCCTGACAGAATGTACAATTATTAGAGAGAGGCAGTACATGAGCAGCTGCTGGAACCCCACCGGTACAGCAAAGTGCTTCCCAAAGTCAGAATATGAATAATACACTCAAGGTCTTCCCCCAGCTCTATGAGGGCCTGCTACTTTCTCCAGGAAGAATTATAGCCCTCCCTAGCAGCTGCAATAATTGTGTTCCTATTATCCTAGGGACCTCCTCCTGACCACCCCCTACAAGTGTCCATTGTTGAGATGGAGTCAAGTGATTATATGCTTTGGCTGATGCTGTTTGGGCCCAGCTGCCTAACTGCTGACACACGAGCACCAAGAGCACGGACTCGCGTCTGCAAGACGGGACTCTAACATACCAGACCTTTTACATAAGTCAAGCAGGAACAAATGATGCTTTATCAGCCCTTCTGACGGGGCAGCCCCCTCTTCCTTTGAAGTGGCGGCTGCTTATAGGCCCTTACAGCTTTTCCTCCTTAGCACAAGCAAACATCCTCCTTTTGATATGCTACATGCTCATTATCTCTGCCCCATTTAATGATTTTTGATTGAAGGGTGGCAGTTCAGTTGCCAAGAGAGTAGTTAAAGGGGCTTCACACAGTCAGGCCTACAAGAAAGGCTTTCCTTGTGCAGCAGCCTAAATTTGGAATTTCTTAACAGTGTGTTCTTGTTCTTAGCGGCCGATAAGGGCTGAGCGTGAAATTCTTAATTAAGCAGTAAATAGAGAGTAGGGTGTCAGCAGATGCAGCCTGTTGCCATGGAGACCAAGTCACATGAAGAAGAGAACTGAGACTAAACATAGGCCTCAGGCTTGGATGTGAGTGACAGCGGAAGAATCCTACAAAGCTTGTAAACTGGATTAATTAGTTGACTAATTATTTCATATAATGAAATGTAACAAAAATAAAAACAGCTCACAATGTGGAAGAGCAGAGCGTTCTGAGAGCTAAAACCAAAAGTGTCGTTCTCTATGTTTCAATTTCAGATTCATTTATTTTAAGTCTGAAGGGACCACGGTGGACTTTCTGGCTGACCTCCTGCATAGCTAAGAGCAGAGACTTTCACACAGTGGTTCCTGCATGGAGTCCAATAACCTGTGGTGGAGCTAGAGACTTGTTTCTGAGAAAAATCCAAACTCGGTCTAAAGACTTCAGGTGCTGGAGAAAGCACCAAACCCTCTGGTAGTTTGTTCCAATGAATGGCAATCTTCACTGTAAAAAATGTGTGGCTTATTTCCAGCTTGTGTAACTTTAACATCCAGTGATATGCACTGGAGTTTAGAAAAGCAATTAAATGGCTGCAAATCCATTCATTTCACTTGAGTTCAGACTTTCTTCCTCACCATAAAGTTAGGTTTTAAATGACAAATATTGTATTACTGATCTCCCGGTTATAATGTAAGTACAGTAGCCAAATGTTCTCAGCACGGATTATACATGTGAGATAAAGTTTCAGTTCATTTGCTTGTCAAATATGAGATCCTTTTCCTCTGTATTAAAAAACCCACATGTGGTAAATACAACACAACCAGACTGAAAACAAGACAAAAGGAGGAAAAAAAATGTAACCCGTCTGTTTGAGACTGCTTCATGCTGAATGGTGCAGTATAGCTCATTATTGCTAGCATACGTCAGATCTATTTCTTCAAGGATAATGTGCCAAGAAATGTGCCATGGTTTCTTAGCTCTCTCAGGCTTCCCTAGTTAAGGGGAAATTTTATGCAGGGTATCCCAAGTGTCCAACTGTTGACATATCTGTAATCAAAATAACAGGTCTTCAATGGGAAATTATCTTCAGGCTAGCATCTATCTATATGTGTCTCCCCCTCCCCTCCACATTTACTCTTATAGGTTTAACCTCCGAAATCTGGCACTCTCTGGTCCAGCAACATCTGTGGTCCTGATATTGCTGGACCAGAGAACTCGTCTCAGAGCAGGGGCTGGCCAGGATCAGAAGCAAAGCTCCAGCTAGCAGTAGCAGGTCTGGCAGCTGGGAGCCCATGCTGGACTGGTGACCAGGAGCACAGGCTGGGCTGGTATGGCAGGGAGTGCAGTCCCGGCTGGGCTGGTATGGCAGGGAGTGGCCATCGGGATGGGGAGCACAGCCCCAGCCAGATCCAGGAGTGGAGCCCAGTGGTCAGGACTGGAAATAAATACCAGTGGACAGGGCTGGTGCTCTGGAAGGCCTGATGGCCAGGGGGGCAGCCTTGAGTTTCCCCGGTCTGGCAAACTCCTTAGTTTGGTACTGCTCAGGTCCTGAGGATGCTGGACCAGGGAGTTACCTGTAGCAAATTGCAAAGAAATAAATGGTTTTTGGTCTGTGATAGATATCTAGCACAACCTTTGGCAAGTCACTTAACTTCTCTAGGCCTTACTGCAATCAAATCAGAAATAGTTCAAGCCAATGAAATTATCTGAATGCCAAAATGTTCTAAGTATCAGAGGGGTAGCTGTGTTAGTCTGGATCTGCAAAAGCGATGAGGAGTCCTATGGCACCTTATAGACTAACAGATGTTCTAAGTGAGTCTGATTCAGGCTCTCTGTGTTTTAACTTCACTAAGACTATGTCTACACTGCTGTGAAGCAAGTATTTGGGGAGTCAAGAGAATTTCTATTGCCCGAGTTGAAGCCTGCTCCAAGGTGTTCTTTCTAATATTTTTAACCGTATAAACTGGATTAAAGCAAGTGCAAATATACCTATGGGAGCTCCAAGTTACTCCCCTTCATAGCTTATGTGTGAAATGGCAAGGATAAGAACTGCCTACCAAGAGTATGGTGAGATCTACGTGACTTTCAGTACTTGACATGGTTATCATGGCCCTAATCATTACATCTCCTTTCACAACCAGAATTTAGCACCAGTGACTGATTTGCTGGAGAAAAGGATGAAGGAGGGAAAGTCCCAGGTTTTGAAGAGGATGTCAATGCCAAATTGCAAAATTAGCAGGCAATGGGGATCAAAATACAGGAGTCAATAGACAGAATATTTGGAAAAGTCACATATATTCTCTTTAGAAAAATCAACATTTTCAAACTTATAGGCGTACAGAGCCACTGAGAGTTCACAATGTAAGAACCCATTCTTCATATGAGTAATCCTTAGTAAAAAAAAAATCAAAACAAAAATCCCAGGACTTTCAGTAAGTGCAGAACTGAACTCACAGCCACCATCTAAGACATTTAAGGTGGGAGATCCTGGCTAGCCCCTGCTTTCAGACCGGCTCTCTGGTCCAGCAATATTTGGACCATATATGTTGCTGGACCAGACAGTGCCAGATTTCGGAGGTTAAACCTATAAGAGTAAATGCGAGGGGAGACATATATAGATACATGCTAGCCTGAAGATATTGACAATAGACCCCAAAGCCTTTTCACCTCCAAAGCATGAGTTCAAATCTAGCCACTATCATATTGCTAAGACTCATGTTGATCCTCTTTTGCTGATAAGTGATTAAAAGTCCTGATCCTCCAAAGACTTCGGCATATTCATAACTTGTTATCTGAGTAGTCCTATTGACTTAAAGCTCTGTTCATGCCTAAGACTTTGTAGGGAATTGCCAGCACTGCTCATTTGCAGAAAGTTACATACATTACTTGCCTTACACTTACCTAAATAGGTTAGCTTGCCCAATTTGCTGTTGAAAAACCAGTCACAGCCCTTGTTATCATGGTGTGAAGGAAGTGACTGGAGTGGCTGACCAGGTCTTATCCCGCAGGACACCATGACTTCAACATAGGATGGGAGATTCGCATGTTCCACCAGTAAGTAATTCCCAGCAATAAAGTTACTGAATGTAGCCGAGTACTAGATGGAGGGAAACATAATGAGCATGCATTTTCTGAAGTGCAATGCATTCTTTTGGTAACTGGTATCAGAAGCATAGAATGTTAAAGTCTCTGTATGATAGGCTGGAAGTGGATGCTATGTCAGATCCTCTGACTGCATTAAAATATAGGTAGAAATTATGAGTCATCAAAACCAACTTTCAGTGGTTTTTAAGTGGTACATGGGTCTTGTTCTGGCTCTATGCATTGGGGGTGAACATTCACC